GGGCTGCTCCAGCCCAAGCAGCTGGGATGCAGGGAGCGGGTTCCTGAGGGCAGCTGCACCCCAGGTCTGTCCTCCAGGACAACTCAGTCCTTCTAGACCTCAGGGCCTGTGATGGATGGGGCACCCTTCCAGACTTCTCAAATGCCTTTTGGGCTTTTTTCCCGTTGTCCTGGTTATTAGCATCTGGCTGCCTCATCATCAAGCTAGTGTTTTTAGCAAACAGTTTATCTGCTTCACCCTTTGCATTTTTCTCCTGCTCTCTGCTTCTCTACCACATGGCCAGGCTGCAGATTTTCCAAATCTTTCCATTCTGCTTTCCTTTTAAATTCTGGTTTTACACCATGCTTTTGCCGCCATAACTCAGAGTAGGCTGTTAGAAGTAACCATGCAGCTTCCTTAATGCTTTGCTGCTTGGAAATTTCTTCCACCAGATACTCTGGTTCACAGCTCCTAAGTTCCAACTTCCACAAAGTCCAAAGGCATGGACACAATGCAGCCAAGTTCCTTGCTATGGTGTAGCAAGGGTTATCTTTTGTCTAATTCCCAATAAGTTCCTCATTTCTATTTGAAATCTTATCATCCGCATGGCCTTTACTGTTCACATTTCTATTAGCATTCTGGTCATAGCCATTTAGCCAGTCTCTAAAATGTTCCAAACTTTCCCTCAATTTTTTGTCTTCTTCTAAGTCCTCCAAACTCTTCCAACCTTTGCTTATTACACAGTTCCAAAGCCGTTCCCACATTTTCAGGTATCTGTATAGCAACACCCTATTCCTGGTACCAATTTTCTGTATTAGTCCAATTTGTCATGCTATAACAGAAATACCTGAGACTAGGTGATTTATAAAGAACAGAGGTTTATTTAGCTTACGATTCTGGGACAGCTGCATCTGGCACGGGCCTCAGGCTGCTTCTACTCATGGTGGAAAGCGTGAGGCAGCTGGTGGGTACAAGCAGATCACATGGCAAGAGGAAGCAAGAGAGAGAGAGGGGAGGTGCCAGGGTCTTTTTAACAACCAGCTCTCACAGGAACTGATAGAGCAAGATCTCACTCATTAATCCCCCCACATAGGGAGAGCACTAATACATTCATGAGGGATATGCCCCCATGAATCATTTTCCAACACTGCCACACTGGGGATCAAATTTCCATGTGAGTTTTGGAGGGGACAACACATCCAAACTCCATCAACATCCCTCGATTTTTTCCGTTCTTACCTTTTGGGACTCTTACTAGACTGATGTTGAAACTTCTGGATTTCCCATCTGATTCTGTTATTTTTCTTTTATATTTTCCATCCCTTTATTCCTTGTATTGCATTATGGGAGAATTCCTTGGCCTTTTTTTCCAGCCCACACATTAATTCTGCTGGGTCTGTTCTGCTGTTCTGCTTTATTAAATTTTTAATTTCAACTGCTTTTCATATTCAAGATCTCTAATTGGTTCTTTTCATAATTTCATAATCCTGTCTTAAGAATGCAAATACTTTTTAAAAAAACCTCTCAGGATAATTAATTATACTTAATAATTCTGTTTTGATTGATCTATTATCTGGTTTTAAGAAAGAATTTAAGTCTTTCCATTTGATGAGACTTTATTTCATGGTATGGATGTTTCTCAAATAACGTGTAATTCCTAATTTGCCTACTTTTGCAGTTTATTTGCCCTGTTGGATTGGTGTTTTCCTATCCCTCTGCCCAACTGCTGTCTGGGGGTTAGGGTGGAAGTGGAAATACACACAAGATCAGCAGGCCCACCTACTTCCGCTGGAGTGCTCCAGCTAATCTCCAGGCAGTTGCCTTTGGGGCCCCTCCTACTCCGTGCTCCCCCTATTGCTGAGCAGTGAGCACTCTTGACATTGCAGTGGTTCCTGCATGAGGTCCCGCCATGCTCTCAGCATCATTATGTGTGTGTTTGGCCCTGTGCTATCTGCCCCTGTTCTCTCAGGCACTCTTAGTTTCTGGGCTGTTGAGATCTCCTCTATACTTTTTGAGTGTTGCTGTATATTCAGTCCTTCCTCCCTCTTTTCCTTCCTTTTCTCCTTTCTTTCCCCCTCCCCTCACTGTATTTGACCATTTCTCTGATTTGGCAGGTAGGGGAGATCGCATTGTGGGCTTAGCTTGAAAGTGAAAAGAAATGTTTCTTTTTTCCTCATATCTGAGCCTCTGCATATGCTATATCCCCTAACCAGAGTGTCCCTCTACACAGCCCTATCATATCTGCATAGCAAATTTATCCTTATCTTTCAAGTCGTTACCTTTTCTATGAAGTTATCCACAATACCCCCAGGCAGAGTTAATGTCCTCTCCTCTGTTCCCATGGTGACTTTGTACACCTTCATTTTAGTACTTATTATACTACGTTGTAATTGTTTGCAGTCCTGTCTGTCGTGGCTCGGTTGACTATGAGTTGCTTTTATCTTTGTATCATTATATCCCTAGTACCTGCCTGATGTGTGGTAGGTGCTCAGTAAACATTTGTTCCGTGAGTGAATGATTTAAGGAAGTGAAAAAATCAATTTCACTAACAAGATGACATTAATTTATCATATAAGATGTGATTACAAAGTACTGTAATTACAAAGCTCAATCTGGCTATTCAACTCAAGAACCTTTATTGCCTCCGCTTCCCCCCAACTCCATCCCTTGCAATACACGAAACTGCTGGGTGCTGTCCTGGTAGTTCTCTTGAAACTCTTTTTGGAATTCATTCAGCAAATATAATCAGTCTCATCTCTTCCCTTTGTTACACGTGTTTTTGACAAGCTTGACTTGAAGACATCATACTTGACTCTGAATAGATTTTTGGCTTTTACTAAATATTGAATCTGTCTTTAAAAAAGAATTATTTTTTAGAACATGGCTAGGATGTATTCACAGCCTTAAGTTCCCAGAAGACGGGCATCCTGTCTTTCAGTTGTTTTTGAAGCTCTGATGGAGCCTGGTGCATTGCTAGGCTAGAATTTTTAAAAAGAATTTCTAAAACTTTCAAGCAGTGGCAACATTGTAAGAATCACCCTACAGGTTCCCAAAGCCACTATTTGAAAGAAATGCCATTCATTTGAATTGCCAGAGTTATACTGTGTTTGCTTTTTTAAAAAATAAACATTTGATAACATCTTAAAAGATAACATGTAAGAAAAAAAAAGACTACAATGTTAGCTAGAAGTGTAGCACTCTGATTCGTAAAGTCAAGGTGACCATGAGGTACCACAATTTAAAATTATTTTGTGTCCTTTGATTGTTCCTCATAAAATGCCTAATGTAAATTTATTTGATCCAGAAATGTTTTGTTGGTTCTCCTGCTGTACCCAACGCAATTAGACCTTTACTTAGAGTCTTAGATTATATAACTGATTGATATCGAAGAATATGGAAGAGAATCTCCAATAGCTAAGTAGGAACAAAAACCTATGAAGATTTTAAGAAATAATGTTTCAGAATCCAGATGAAAGGTAGGTAGCTAAGTGGCAACTAGTTATAGCATAATATGGTGTATATTTTTCCTCTTTGGTGAGTGAACAAAAAGAAATGTCTTTAGTGATGTAGAGGAGGTACAAGGATTAGCTATGAGGAGGAGCTTTCTAGGAATGTGTGTCAGTGAGATGCTTGCAGCCACACGATGGAAAACCTGCTCAGCTGGCTTAAACCTGAAATCAGTTGTATTTTTCCCTCAAATCAGGGTTGTTTTTAAAAAATTATTTTACATTATGTTCACTTCATTTTTTACTTGAAACTATACTGCCTTTGCTTGATTTTTATCCAGAAATAAAGTTTAATAAGATGATCTGCCTACCCACCCCATTCCATCAACATAAGGAGACCTTTGTAGACACAAGAAGGCCTCTGTCTTCAGAAAATCAAAGGCACTGTTTATGAAGTCTCTGCAAAGATATGTGAAATTCCAACATGTTATTTTTCAAGATAGGCTAAATTCTGTATGAAAGCTTTACTTGCTTCAAACCTAAAATGGTCTTAGAAAAAGTAAAAATAAAAGCTCAGATATATGGCATAGTTTAGTGAAACTGAGCTTAATTTTTAAACCACTGTATCTTTGGAGTCTATCATTCTTCACTCAAACTAAAATTTTTTCTCACCTTTTGATGTCACTTTTATTTATGAGATGGAGCAAGTCACAATTTTATTATTGTTTCTCCATCTTTAACTCACAAGAAAGCTTGGACCAGTCACATAACCTACCTGAGCCTCAGTTTCCTCCTTTGTAAAATGAGGATGTGAATACACGGTCTCTGAGCTCTAAAATGATTTCAAGGAAGCTAAAGTTAGCTTAGGTTCACTAAACTATGCCATAAATTCTAATCTGAGCTTTTGCTTTTACATTTTCTAGGATCATTTTAGTTTTAAAATTATCTGATATGATTGGTGACAATTTGCTTTGTACTTCATGAATATTCATAACCAATAAAAACAAAGCTTTTTTTTTTTAGTACATAAATGAATAGAAATTAATTAATTAACTAATAAAACTATCTGGCATGTGTGTCTGTGTGTGTGTGTGAGCACATACGCATGTCCTTCATTACATATGTAGTATGCAGTATGCTCGTGCACTAAATATCCTTCCTTAGTATGCACCCCATATGGACATATATGTGCTCCATCTATTTGCAGTTCATTGGTAGGAAATTTGTTGTACGTTCTGTGGGTAGTTGCTCAAATGCCCTTTCGGGGCCACTGTCCTTACACTCTCAGTTACTGGGCTTATTGGCTGCTGATGGCACACAGCTGAGTCCCTTCTCCAGCCTTACTCTCTGCTGAAGGAAGCAACTTTGTCCAAGGTTAGACCCCCTCCATAGGTGTAGCTCTCATCTGAATCAGGGCTAGGATATAAAGGTCTAGTGAATAATGGATGTACTGAGTGCTCTTGAACTGTGGTTTTGGTCTGAGCTCTTAAGTTGTTGTTTAATGTTTGGATTGTCTATGTACATTTTTTTTTCTGTTTAATTTCAAAGCTCTTTTTTTCAAATTCATTTTCTCAGAAGAATTACCTTGTACGTGCCCGCTGTGTACCTCAGACAGAGGTAGCTGTGTTAGTACGACTGAAGGGATCCAACTGGCTAAAGAACTAGGAGCTACCTATCTTGAACTGCACAGCCTCGATGACTTCTATATAGGAAAATATTTTGGAGGAGTGGTAAGTGGAAATTCCTCTTATGTATAAAGTAATGTGTTAGGCTGGCTCTTTAGCAATTTTCTAGAACATCAGTTAGAACTTTAGTTTTAAAGGCATGATTAGTGGTAAGTGGAAATTCCTCTTATGTATAAAGTAATGTGTTAGGCTGGCTCTTTAGCAATTCTCTAGAACATCAGTTAGAACTTTAGTTTTAAAGGCATGATTAGTCTTAACCTTGAGAAAATGAGAGTAAGTAGCAAAGGTTTTATCAGAGTAAAATTACAAATTTATTTTTTTCTCCAAATGAAACATTGTGTATTGCCTAGTATGATATTTTGGAATTTTTCACTGGGTAACACTTTATTGGTCTTTGTCATGCATATCAGAAGCATATTAACTTACACAAACCTCTGATGTCAGCTTTAATAGTGGTCTTTATACAGCTGAACAAGCCTGGCTGAACCAGCGGACCCTGAAAGTTCGCTTTCATTCCCATCTACTTGTTGAAAAGAATAATTTCTCTTTCTCTGTGTATGCTTTGGCAAGGTTTCATATCCTCCTAATCTTGTTGTAGCTCAAATGTATTCAGGCGAACTACTTATAATATACAGATGGCTTCTTGTGGGACTGTGGAGAGCCAGGGTTTGCTTGCTTGTTTGTGGTGGCATTTATTAGTCCTGCAGTCATTTGGAGGCTCATCTTATCTTAACACATGGCACCTACCCTATCATTTTAGGACTGTAAGGTTTTTGGAGAATACTGGGTAGTTGTATCACTTAAGAATTTACTAACTTTGGAGATATCTTTCCAACGCTCCAAGAAATGACTGCTCTCAGCAGACAAATCTGATAAACATCGATGAGAGGTTAAAACCAAAGAAAACCCTACGTGAAAGCAGGAACACTTTGGAATTCTCCATCAGTTCCCTAGGTCTTTATCGAATACTTTTTCCAATATACCAGAATATTTATTATGTAAATTTATGTTGAAATGTTGAGGTTTCCAAAGATTACCATAGAAATTTCGTTTGTTCTAAAGTTAACTAAACTGGGTAAAATAAGAATGAAATATAAATGGTACTGATCTCTACCAAATATAAATGGCTATTACTCACCCAGTAATGTAAAGAAACATTAATAACACAGCATTAAGGAAGACATACTCATAATATTGATATTAGCAATGACTCTGAGAAACTTTTGTCATTTTATTTATAGTGATAAGAAGTGGGTGGAAAGATAGAGGTGAAATCTAATTTTCCTGTCAAGCACATTATGTTGTAGTAGCTTTAAAAAAATCTTAACTGGGCCCAGAATCATGTATTTCCCTGAAATACCGAGGGAGTTGGAGGAAAAAAATGGTTTGGTTTTATTTGTTGAGAAGTTTCATTTGTTGGTTTCGTTGGTTGGATGTGGTTTCCTTTGTTGAAGAGGAGGCTGGTTCCCTTGGGACCTTGAGTCTCCTTGCTCCCTATTCCAGGATCCTGAGCCTGAATTACTGAGGCTCACTCTTTCCACCTTACAACTTCCTCTCTTCTCTCCCCTCCTTGTTTCTCTTTCTTCCTAATACCTAATGTTGCAGTTAGGGTTAGAGGCATGATGGAGATTGAAGATGTGGTCAAGACTGGTAGAAAGACGGTACAGTTTCTCTTTTCCTTAACTCAAGACTTGGTGAGAATGTGGAAGTAAGATCACAATGATCTCTTTGTAGACTGTTGTATAGTAAAGTACAGTTGAGTTCGTGAGTATATGAAATAATGGAACTTGCAAGAATATGGGTGGAAATGATAATATTAGAGTAAAAGGAATAATTAAAAGCTTGGGTTTAGGAGTCAGAGATGAAGAGCTGTGCAGTCCTACTTCAGACCTGGGCAGGAGGGTCACCTGCCCTTTAGAGAGCCCCATCTTGCCTCCTTCCAGTTGTACCCCTCTCCACAGAGCTCGTGTCAATGGAGCCAAGGGAATGTGCCCACCCGGAGCTGGTATCCCCCTCCTTCTAGACCTGCACCATTCAGTGTGGTAGCCACTGGCCAAAGGTGGCTATTTATATTTAAATTAATTGCAATAAAAGAAACCAAAATAGAATTTAGTTCCTCTGCTAGCCACATTTCAGGTGCTCTGTAGCTACACAGGACTAGTAGCTACTCTATTGTATATCATGGATATTACAGATTATTTTCATCAACACGGAAAGTTCTGTTGGGTAGTGCTGTGACTGTGCTCCAAAACCCAGGACCCCAGAATTCTCTGGCTACTGGTCCTGAGTCTGTTTCCTGGGCCTGTGCAGGCCTCTTTTCTGGGTCTGTCCTCCTGAAGGACTGCATTGCTGTGTGCACCCCTAGGCCTGCGAGGTGGCTACGGGGTGAGAATTATGGGGAGTGGGGGAGGGGAGAGTGGACAGAGCTTGGACATACGCTTGTGTGCACAAAGCCCTTGAGGCATGGGATGGAGCAAGGGGTACACGGAGGAGGGATGGTCTTGGGGCCCAGGAGTTAGGGGCCAGTGCTTGCTCTCTGTGCTCCACAAACACCTCATGAGTTTTTGTTTGTTTCTTTGTTTTTTATTTTTTTATTTTTTTTTAATTTTATTTTGTCGATATACATTGTGGTTGATTTTTGTGGCCCCTTACCAAAACCTCCCTCCCTCCTCCCTCTCCTCCCTCCCACCAAACAATGTCCTTTCTGTTTGCTTGTCATATCAACTTCAAGTAATTGTAGTTGTTATATCTTCTCCCCACCCCGATTGTGTGTGTGTGTGTGTGTGTGTGAATTTATTTATTAACAGGTATACCTTCGACTTGATGATTTCCATTCCTCTGGGTATATTCCCAGCAGTGGGATAGCTGGGTCATATGGCAGATCTATGTGTAATTGTTTGAGGAACCTCCATACCATTTTCCATAGAGGCTGCACGATTTTGCAGTCCCACCAACAATGTATGAGAGTTCCTTTTTCTCCACAACTTCGCCAGCATTTATGGTTCAGAGTCTTTTGGATTTTAGCCATT